ACTCAAGGTTTCAGAGAAGCTTAATATATGACATGATGGTAATGATGGGAAGCAATTACCATTTCCTGGACACTCTATCCTACATGAAATGGCACTCAATTACTCATTTTAGTTCAAGTGAGCTTGCTTTATACTCACAGATGTCAAGTATTTAAAAATACTGCCTGGTCTTGATGACAGTCATAAAAGAAAAAGAATTTGAATGGCACAGATTTAGTATGTCTCAGATGTATGGATCATACTTACTCAAAAGGTCTCTTAAAGATTCTCCAAACAGAATCTTCAAAATAAGCTGCTTTCATCAGCTTATAGGATTTCACTACAAACCATAACTTTCATAGTTTCAGAATTTTCCAAAGCACACTTGTTCCCTACAGCAAACTGTAAATACTATATGTATTTCATAAAGAAATGGGTACAAAAGGAAATTAAGGCAAATGAAACTAAGTAGACTAAGTCAGGTGGATAACAATATTGTAGCTAACCTAGAAAGACAGTTTAAAGAGACTCAAGTCCAATATGCTGAGGGGGGAAGAATTTGGTTTCAGAAAAGTATTTGGTAGTTTCTGTTCAATCACTAAGAATATTGAAAAATCACCACTAAATACATTGGGCTCAAATTCATAACAATGGCATGTAATCACCAAGAAATAGATCCCTCTAGCTATTGCAATCTTGGAAAGAAATCATAATTATTTCACTTGGGTATATGACCTCAAGGCTTTAGATAGAACAGTCAACTTCTAATCACACTTTCAAATCATTGAACAGAAACAAATCTTTTCAAAAAACAGTTTTATGGATGGGAAGTTTCTATCAGGTTTGTTTAAATCAAGGTATTTGAATAAAAAATAGGGAGTAACATTTTATGAATTTTATTATTTTTAATTAAATTCTATTCTGTGAGATTCCAGCTACATAGTATATGACCAAAAAAAAAAATCTTCAAAATTATACCGAGTAGTCCAGCAACTACTTCCTAGGCTTACTGAAGAGCTATCAAGAAGTATCCATACAATAGCTAAAACTGGAAATTATCCAAATATTCATCAACAGAAGTGATAAGACAAATTTCAGGAATTCAAACAGTGGAACAAACTACAGAACAGCAGGAATTCAAACAGTGGAACAAACTACAGAACATGAATGAAGCCTATGGAAATTAGACTGAACTAAAGAAGCCAGACACAAGTTCTATAAAATACAAAATTAATCTATGAGAAAAGTAATCTTAACAGCAGTTGTCTCTGGGTAGACACCAGGGATTGCCTGGGAGAAGGGCATGAGGGAACTTACTAGGGTGATGTAAATTGTAAATATTCTACATCTTGATAGATTTAAAGGTTACTTATTAAAACAGTTAAGGTACATGTGTACATTTTTCTTCATACACCGCCCCCCCCCCAGGAAATCCCACATAGAGGTAATAGGTATAAGTATAGGTAAATCAATCACAGCAGAATTTAGTCATTGTTAAAGTTGATAATGGTAAGGGCTTTAAAAAAATACTATTCTATTACTTTCTACTTATTTGATATTTCCTAAGTATAAATATATACATATGCATAAAGCATCCAAAAATATATATCAGTGAAATTTTTACAATCAAAATTTTATACCATGAAAATATGAAATATGCCTCTCAAGCAGCTTTCTCTATATGCAGAAGACATTTATAAAAATTCATGGAGAGCCCTGCATCTGCATTTCATGTGGAGCTCTTGAAACTGAGCTTGTTATTCTCACTCCTCTCCCCACTCCCAGCATGCCTTCATCTAATGGGCCTTCAGAGTAAATATGATACCATTGTCTCAGCTACCACCAACACCCCAAATTAATTCTTCCCTGGCTACTCAAACTACTTATTTTTAACAAATATTGGTGCAGATAGAGAAATGTGAGCTGGTATGTACACTGGAGAAAACAACTGACTTGACAGTTGTACTGTAGTACCGCTGCTTCTAAAAATTTTTTCTAAATTAATGAGATAATGGAAATTCCGGTTTTCTTTACATCCTGAATTTTTAATACCTTGTTCGACTTTAGCTTTACATTTTATTTTTAGCAATATAAAAGACATTTTCAGAATCAAAATCCAAAGAATGTTAAACAAGATCAGTGGATAATCTCTCTACTATGAACTAATAAAGCTCAGTTGTGTATCAATCACTACACAGGTCTTAATTTTTAAAATTTTGCCTGAGAGAAGTCCTGTAATTTCATACAACATGTTCAAATGATCAAAAGTACTTTTACAGAGGCAAAGAATGAAATCAGATTCAATCACAGCTATTAAAAGATATGTTAATAACCTACTAGGTCATAAGAGGATTATGCACTTGGGTATAGAATCTTGACAGAACCCAGTAAATGGACTTAAGTATTGTTATGCACCAACTCACTATGGTCTCATAAAATAAACTGAAATTAATGAAAACCAAAGGTTCACATTTTACATACTTTATAACCTCTACTTAAATATTTCTACTGACATTTTTCTTTATTTCAGAAGATGTAGAATAGTAAATACTCAAAAGGTGAGAGAGATCCTGAACAACAACATTCATTTATTCATTCATCAAAACTGTGCACTCGTCGATAACAGGTACTCTTCTGGATATCAGACAGGCAGCAGGGAACAAAACAAAGTTCAGGCCACAGAGGGCTTTCATTCTAGTAAGGGGAGTCAGGCTTATGTAGAAGAGCGAGGATACCTGTGCAAGAGGACCAGGGAGAAAGGACTTGCAGATTACTATTTCAGACAGCTGATCAGGAACAGCCTCTGTGATGGTGCCATTTGAAGCAAACCTCAAGATAGTTAAGTTCCCAAATTTCAGGTAAAGAAAGAGGGGAGTGCAAGGTCCCCCACCAGAACTTACTTGCAAATTGAAGAAACAAAGTCAGCTTGGCTACAGGAGAGTAAGGGACAGCAATAGGAGGTGGAGGGGGAAGGGCATACAAAGGCTCTAGGTTTTTGCAGGCCATTTTTAGGATCTGGCCTTCTAGTGTGAAGGAGATGAGAAGACAAAGCACTGTGAACAGAAATTATACTATTTAATGTTTTTCAAAGATCACTAGCTATATGGGGAAACAGACAGTAGAGAAATAAATATTGAAGTAGGAAGACCAGCTCAATGCAGAGACCACAACACACAAAGAGGATTACTTTAACTTAGCTTATCGGTTGTGTTTCCTTATACAACTCAAAACCATAGTAACTAAAATAATAATTAAATTGTTCTTTTCTTGCCACTGGCTCTGGAAGACAGTTTCTGAGAGAAAAAACAAGAGTGCTCAGATGTTACTTTTTCAGGCCTAGCCTGATCTATTGGGTAAGGTAGTGGTTCTTTTATCTTGATTAATAGGTAAAGAAGACAAAATCTGCTGGTTTCCTAAATAACCACCCTGTCCAAAAACATCCCCTCACAAATGTGTATGCTAAAATCAAAAAATTGTATTATTGCAGCTATACATCACAACCTACGCATATCATAGCACACTAGACCCATTTACTTAACATTCCTGAAAAATAACTCAAGAACACATTGCAAACCAACACTGTCCTCTATTTGTTCATAGTTAATTTACACAATCCCTTTCATAATGAAGGGCCCTTAATCCCTCTCCCATCTCTAATTCCCAAGTTTAGCAAAGAACACATTCAACAGCAACCCTACCTGACCCAAGTTTTTAGCACTGACTTACAAAAAGCCAGGTGATAAAACCACTACACACCGCAAACCTGTCAGACTTTTAGCTACATTTGAGCCTTGTTAACTGGTTTAAGAGGGAGTCAGAAACACATGTTTTCCTGCACACTTTGGTGGTTCCATCCTATGCTCAGAACACTGATAAATGAAATCATCCTGGCTGTGCAAGAATCGCAGCTGGCATGCTAGAGTATTGCTCTTTGACGATGAGCAAGCAGTACAAAATAAGCTGCTGATTCCACTCTTTAAAATCTCATTTTCAATACCTTGTATAATATTTCTGGGCTGATGTTAAATCAAAAACGTAATTCACTTTGGTTTTGCTGAAACCTCAGCCCACTAGCCAGAACACTGATTTCTTTCCAAAAAGCAGTCAGGCGCTACTGTAGGGAGAGAACAGAGGTGGGGGGGGGGAGGAAAGCTATTAATATTAAAATGGGTAATCCAGCTTTTTACTTGCCGGTAGTGTTTTTGATTGGGAGGGGGAAGGCGGCAGGAACTGAAGGACTGTTTCAGCTACACATACTAAAGGTTGTATCTGTGTCCTCATTAAACAGTGCCCAGAATCAGCCTCATTAAGTCTTACAAACAAGTAAGAAATTCCCCTCTCTGGGGTCAGGCTTTTGCAGCTCTAATACCACTACAGACTTTATCTTTTCTGTCATCCACTTCTTTCTCTGTTTCCTTCAATTACCAACTCCTAGTTCATTTTGTCTTATTCATTCTATCATACAGTCTTGAAAAAAAATGCCTTAAACCCTTCCCGGGATATGAAGAGACAGATATGAATAATAAATCAAGATTTCTTTCCCCAGATCTAAATTTAAATAGAGCAGGAGAGGCAAGATGGTGAAAGGGTTGTGTGGGTGTCTGTTGCAAGATTTTTCGGTGTCTAGTTGAGGAAAGGATAGAGAACAGAATGTTAAAGGGATCTGAGAACCGTGTGTGCGTGTGTGTCGTGTGTGTGCGAGAGGGAGTGTGTGTGCGTGTGTGTGTACAGTCATTCCCCAGGCAAAGGGAAGACTTGAGGAAGGGAAGGAGAAGACGGGCATTTATTTATCCCAGGCCCTCCGGACCCCTCCCCACCATTGTGGTTCTGTGTTTTCAGCTCACCACCCAAAGGGCCGAACCCAGAAACCAAACCAAAGCGGAGTCCTGGGCAGGCAGTATGGGGAGGTGGGGATAGGCAGAAACAGGCAACGCGATCTGGCTGGGGAACCCGAAAGAGAAGCGATACCCGAAGAGATCCGCAGAGAAAACGGGAAGGCAGGGCCGGGCAGCGGGACATACCTGGCGCAGAGACCGTGGAGAATGCCCCCGGCACCTCCGGCCTCTCCTCCTCAGCCTCCTCCCGCTGCCGTTGCTGCTGCTGCTGTTGCTGCTGCTGCTGGATGAGGCTGAGATCCGAGCGGCTGAGCTCGGCTCTGGCGGCCGCGGGCACCAGCCGCGCCTTCAGCAGCACCGCGGCCAGGCCAAGTAGCAGGGTGCAAGGGACGCGCCGGCTGAGCCTCGCCATGGCGGAGAGCCACAGGGCCGCGGCGGCACATTGCGGGGCTCCGGGCGGCAGCCTGCGCCAGGGCTGCTGGCTCCAGCAGCGCCGCCCGCTCCCTAGCTCACTCGCTCGCTCACCCTCATCGGGAGGAAGAGGCTGGGGTGGGGGACCAGAGGGTGGGGCAATTTAGCAGCCGCCCGCACGTGATGCTCGGGGCGGGCCCAATCGGACGCCAGGGCCGGGGCAGATCAACCACAGCCAGCTGCTGCGTGGCGGGGGGCTCCACTCGGAGCTGGGCGCTGGGTCCGACCCCGGCTGCGGAGGATGGAAGAGACCGAGAGCCTCCGGAGCTCTTCAGATCTCCCGCTGGAGATCCTGGGAATTGGCTGAAAGTGGAACAAACCGCCCCCCTTCCCCCCGACTCCAAAGTAAAAGAGTAGGTGGTCCATGGATTGCTCAATTCCGCACCAACGGGTCAAAAGCCAGGATCTATCAAACCCTATTTGTTGAGACGGCCGTCCCACAGCATGACTCGGTAGATACAAATTAAACAGCAGTTTTCCAGACTTTTACTAAACTATCTTCTGCTCAAGTGGGGATATGTGTGTGTGTGTATGCATATGTGTGTATATTCTTCATTAGATTTTGTATACACTTTGCACGTGTTAAAAAATAGTTCCTGAGTGTATACCAGGTGCTAACTATTACCGTACTTAGTCAGGTGCTTGAAATAAGATACAATCCCTGCGCTGGAGGAGCTCACTGCCTGTTAGAGCAGAGGAATATAAATTAAAATCTGGTGTGTTGATTGCACACAGAAGAACACCACAGTGTGAGAGGTTGTGCTGAAGAGGAGAAATTGATATACAAAAGGGGTTGGAATAAAAAGGAGTTCCACACAGGTGGGGGCAACCAGGTCATGATCTAGAAAGTGGGGTGTGTGTGTGTGTGTGTGTGTGTGTGTGTGTGTGTGTGTGTGTGTAAGCCAGTGGTGTTTGGTAGCAAGGTGTGTTTGGAAAACTGAGCAATGAATATGACAGGGAGTTTTAGATTGAAAAGGAGATCAGATCTTTTTAAGAAAATTAACAAGCAATTCCTTAGTTCTGACTGTCTGCCAGGCACTGTTCAGGCATTTTATATATTATATCTTGTTAATAATCTCTGATGACATTTAAGAAAGATGAAATTTATACTGAAGTGATTGTGAAGCAGTGACTTGCCACCACACTGCATTTTAGAAGGATCACTTTTCTGTTATGGAACATGGATTTTTTCAGAAGAATAGATTGAATAATAGGCCAATTTAGAGGTGTTTGCAAGAGCCCATGGGGAGATAAATGCCCAACACTTTACACAACTGTATAAAGGAAAGGAAAATAAGTGGGATGATTAGTGTTTAGGGATAGAATCAACAGAGATGGTTGACTATTTGGATAGGGAAGGGAAAGGAAAGAGATGGGTATATTTAGTACATCAGACTGAGATCTTGGGTGACTGAGATCTTGTGATGTCATGACGATTAAGCAACTATAGCAGGCCAGGTAGGGTCACCATCAGTTCTAACCATTGAAAAGGGAACTTCGGAACCCTTGGGGCTATCCTCACAGGTTTTAATAGTAAGCAGGGAAATAAGCCAGCAGGGAGACAGTAACTTGATAGCCCACTCCTGTGACTCTGCTTTTTATTCCCACCCTCCTAGGCATGTGTGCACACTTGCACATGCGCACACACCCATTTCCAGGTGTCCACAACAAAGCACTAGTGCCCCACCCCCATGAGCCTTCTGCATTAACAGGATCAAGGCCACAGGTGAGAATCACAGAGGCTAGTGGTGTAAAAGGCCTGATGAACTCATGTACCCTACAGGAGGTAACACAGAAGGCAGAGTAGGTAAACAACACCGAGGTATTTAGTTGTATTTTCTTTGCATAGGAAGTGCCTGTGGGACTCTCAAAGTACTGTGTCAACATGCCCTATGATATATATCACGACATGTACCTTCATAGTTGATCAATGATTTGACCGATTGGCTGTTCCCATTCCTCCCTCAAAATTATGTGCATTCCTTCCAATGTTTCCAGCTTGGTGGGGATAGGAAGTATCCTCTTAGTGGAACATTCTTCTTTGGTCAGGGGGATGAAAGCAGTGTCCACCTTAACAGAATTATTTGTAAAACAGATGCCAACATGAGGCCTCTCCGTCTGGACACCATGGTTCACCAGGCTTCGTCTCCTGTATGCTCAGAAGCGATTGGGCAAGACTGAATGCAGAGTCTTCATCAGTCTCAAGCTGTTTTGCTACATTTTCTTCCAGCTTACTCCTGCTCCTGGAGAGAAGAAAAGAGAAAATGGAAGTGACTCCAAGAACCTGACTGGCAGATCAGGAGGAAAGGAACGCTGCCAGGATTTCTGTCAGCCTGCCTATGGTGGCCAAGTCATCTTAAATATATTAAAGCTGACCTTCTGGAGGCAAGCCACTGACTCCACAGCCTCCAGAAAAGGGAGGATGTTAAATCCTTCAATACTATACACCATTTAAGAGGTATTGTTTGTCAGTGAAGATGGTTTATAAATCCTCTATTACTCATAAACATGTTTAGTTTCTGTGCAGTATACAAAAGCTTTGTTATCTGATACAATCAAGGCTAGGAGCTGGTGAACTGAATAAGTCGGTCAAGAGATAAAAATCAATATACCCTAAATATATTTTTTCCCTTAAATATATTTTAACTGCTTATTTTATCTTAAAATAAGTAAATGCATATTCAGTTACCAATATTTTGATGTAGGGCCAAGATTTTTTTTTTTTAATTAGTGTCTACATCCTAGATATGGCATCATAAGCCACCATTACATAGAACCCCTATGATGGCAATTTTGGCTTAATCAGTTCTTAAAGACCTTGGACAAGCATTTGAGTGTACTGTCCCTCTATTCCCATTCCCCCCATGTTTTTCTGTTCTTATTACCTGCTTAATAGTAACTTAGTTTTTATAATAGATCTATACAATTCATTCAAAGTTATATTTCATCCATTCCTTATAATACAGAATTATCAAAAGCAACCTTATGAATAACATAATTGCCCTTCAGCACACAATGCAATGGGAGGTGGGGGCTGGGGTGTGGGGCAAAGCATGGGGCCTTCCGACATTCGGGAAGCTGCATCCTGCTCAGTGTATATATATGCCTTACCTGTCAGTCGGAGTGTTCTAAACAGGAATGGAAATACCACTTAATGCAGGAAGTTGTTTTCAAGATACAGTTCAGGCTTAATACAATGTAACTACTCATATTAGAATTTCTTCATTTTTTAAAAAAATTATTACAAGGATCACCAGAAAGCAAAGTCTGGTATGCATGTACACACAATATTTTCCCTACTGCAGATGTGCCAGTACTTTCTCTTACTTTTAATATGAAGAATTCCTTTACAAAGGCTCCTCATTTTGAAGCTTGAGAGAGGATTTCTTTTATTCTTTTTTTGAGCTAGATTCATTTGGGTTACCCCTAGAACTTCACATATTGATTCCTCTATCTGGAACTTTAGCCCCTCACCTTTTTTAGCTGGAAAATTCTTGACAGTTACCATGCATACTGCATACTATTTCCTCCACGATACATTTCCTGACATGCTTAATTTTGATTAGCTGCCCCACATGACACTACATAATTTCCCTTACAGCCCTATCGTTTTAAATATTTACTTGTGTAGCTTCATAAAGGTGAGGATCATCATGTCCATAACTGTCTCCAGTTCCCACCACAAAAGCTAACACTAATAATTACCCAAACATCAACTGTAAGACACAGAACTGTTGACTAAAAGGGAGACGCTGGTGTCAGACTGCTCTGGTGTCCACCAGTCACGTCTGTGTGATTTACGTAAGATGCCAGACCTCTCAACAGTACAGAGATAGAAACTAAAGGAGGTAACAAATGAAATTACATGCAAAATGCTTAGTTTATTGCGATAGGAACAGTTCAGTAAACATCAGCTGTTAGTTCTTTTGCAAACACTGGGCTGTTATTTATCATACTATTTTATGTCTATAAAGTTTCATGTTATGTCTTTCTCTTGGTATTTATGTTCTATAAAGTTATTGTAAACATGAAATTAGCTAATGCCAAACCACTGCTCCATGCAGAAATACAGAAGAAATTCTTTGGACTCAGGTTGAAATACTTTCATCAACTGATCTATGGATAGCCTTATTTTGTGTGTAGTTTTGTTTAAAGACTCCTTATTTATAATACATTGTTGGTTCATTGACTTTGAGCTCACAGGGCCCTCCCTGGTGGTACGATGGGTTAAGGCACAGCACCATGAAGCTATGATCCCCAGCAAGGGGGGTGACTTACATGGCATTGTAGACCTCTCCTATTGTGTCCACTGCTCCTCTCAGCAATGTATTTCAGTGAATCTGCTTGTTCTGTTTCCCACTCTGTCTCTGGTGAATCCTCTCACCCCCTGCACCTCTTGGCCTCTACCCCAGTTCTGTATTCATAAATAAATAAATCTTTAAAAAAAGCTATAAAACATTGAGCTTATAACTCATAACATCACATCTCCTGCCTAAACAAAACTTACCTAAAACATGCACAGCATACTTGCTCTATATAGGAACACTATATAGCACCTTGGCACTATCATTGGGGGATATTTTAAGCAAGAAAATTAACAAGAAGTATAAAACTGCAAAAACGTAGCACTAAATAAGTCACCATAAAGAAAAGTAAAACATACATCAATATGACATTTGACAAAGTCAACACACTTTCATGACTAAAACAAAACTAATATGGTATTGAAGGAATATACCTCAATAAAGGCCAAAAGTTACCATAATATTCCATAGTAAAGCTAGAGCTTTTCATTTAAGATCAGAAACTAAAGATGCCCACACTTAATTCTATTAAATATAGTACAAGTCCTATTCAGTGCAATTAGGAAATAGAAGTCAAAACATCCAAATCATAGAGGAAGAAATGTAGTTGTCTCTATAAATGACATTACTTTATATATGGAAAACTCTGAAGACTCCCCCAAGATGGTTAAATTAAAAAATTCAGTAAAGTTGCAGGATACAAAATGAACAGACAAAAATCTGTTACATTTCTTTACACTAATAAT